CCCCCCCTTGAATGAATTAATCAGTTTCCTGATCCTGAGGTCCAGGTTTTCACATCTATCAAGATATTCTGCAGCTTTCTCACGATACTTGACCTTCTTATTTTTATCCTAAATATTAATTTAAAATAAATTTGGCAAAAACCATCGAAATCGGTCTTTCCCTTATATGAATAATATACTTTGTTTTGTTTATAATTTGAAGGTGAGAAAAACAGAAAAAATTAACATGGAGAACTTTTTTTCCTCCAATTATTACGATAAACAAAACAAATGATGTTGATTATATATATATAGGGAAAGGGAGATTTCGGTGATTATGACCATAATCATATAATGATTTGATTATATAGTGTCTACCTAAATTAGCGCAGATGCTGACACAGCTTTAATAGGTGGCAAATCAATACTCATCTATAGGCGTTTACAGCAATTTAAAATTTTTTTCTTTGCCCAACCATTTTGGATATATCATTTAAAGAATTTGTACAAGACATTAGACAAAGTCCAAACTTCAGATCGTAATATTCAGATAGTGTCTGGTCGTCGTGTTAGAAGGGGTATGTATATATTTACAAGTATTATGAGTTTCTATGCTCTGGGAAAAAGATGATAAGTGTGACCTCAAAAGATAGATGTTTTTCATCCTTTATAATACGCAAGGTTCATAAATTTCAATTGTGATTTTTAGAGAGAGTATATACTACTTTAATAAAGTCCCAACCTTTGAGGGAAACCAAGCATTACAATTAGCTGTTTTACCTGAACTGTCTGGACAACAGCAAGTAACAGCTGAAGACCCTCTTTGTAACAAACTATCGCCTGGAAAAAAGTGATTTTTGTATCTTGAGTTATCAAGAAGAATCTGAATGACTTTTAAGATCTGTAAAATACAGTTTAATAAGAATTCACAAATCCCAGGATACATTAATGTAAACTGTTCATGTTTTACCTAAACAAAGGCCATTTTAAACTTGATAAAATATCTTACTAAAAATAAAACCAAAAACCTCTGTATATCTATTTGTTGAATCTAACTCTACTGCTCTAGTCAGTAAAGCAATAGCAGCACTTTCTTCACCAGACATTTTAAAATAAACAGTCAAACTAAAATCATCTGAAATTAAATTATAAAAATAAAAAATATAAATGACAACTGCCGAACGTAACTCTGTGATTGAAATCTAACAAAGATACAATGTCCGTCCTAGTATACGATTTTTGGACCCGCCCTTCCTATCAATTTTGTACATTTATTTTTTTTATTATTTTAGGGTTAGGTTAGGTTAGATTAAGACAATTTCGGGGCCGAGCACTGCGGCTAGGACGGGCTAGGGGGCCGAGCTCTGCGGCTAGGAAAGGCTAGGGGACCAAGCGCCGCGGCTAGGACAGGCTAGGGGGCCGGCGCTGCGGTCAGATCATCAATTTTACAATATGTACAAAATTATAGG